AGGCCCCATCTTCCTCACTGGTTGCAAGTTATAGTTTTATGCTCGCTTACGATTTCCTTATGGTTTTTTTGTTTGTTTGTTTTTTTTCCCACTTGCTTCCTGCAGTATCCCTGGGGCCTGGAATGTAGCCAGAAGTCAAGAAATGTTCGTTGAAGGGCTAAACTAATGGGTAGCTGGACATTCTGCTCACCTGCCCCTCTCCACCCTCTAGGGAACCCCTGCCCAGCCCTGGACAGAACCCACTTCTAGAACCAGTGATTTAGGTCAGCCTTTTCCCTTGAAGGATGGGCCCACTGCACGCCCAAAGCCACACAAGCCTCGGGGCCACCGGTGAGGCCAGGCAGTGACTCTAGTCCCCAACTTCTAATACCATCCGTGATAGGATCTTAAGGGGAATTCAACTCTTCACGTTCCCGGACCCGATTCCGATGTGGGGGGGTGGGGTTCCCACACACATAACACCAGGCAGTTCTCAGAGAATCCAATTCAATTCCAACACCATCCGCCCAGGGACAGCATCAGATCCCACAAAGTTAGGGGCTCACGGCTCCAAGCCTGCCCCGCCCCCACCCCACCCCCCAACTTCAGGTACCGGCCACAAGCCCAGGCCATTACCTGTGTTTCTGACGCACCAGCTAGAGACGAGTGTCCAAGGACCCGCTCCTAAGGTTTCATTAATTTGCTAAAGCGGCTCACAGAACTCGAGAAAACGTTTAACATTTACCCGATCCTTAAAGGGTATGGATCAAGAGCCAGATGGACAGAGGCACAAGGCAAGGTACCAGGGAGGGCTTAGGGTTTCTTTGCCCTTCCAGGCAAGCCACACTGGGCCTACGTCCACCTTCGTACCAACCTGGAAGCTTTCCGAACCCTGTCCTTCTTTATACACAGGCACAATAGCCTTAGTCACGGGGCGCAGGCTGATTCAACCTCCTGGCACCAGGCTCCCACCCTCGGGTGGGTCCAAAAGTCACCTCATGTAAGGACAAGACACCCATTTCACTTTTATGGCCCCGAAGCGTTTTCAGGAACCACGGATGAAGACCAACTATATTGGAAAAATCAATTTGGGTCGTTTGAATGGCCAAATATACGTGCAGTCCTTATCAATCGTGCCACAGCCGAGTTCAGGGGAGTCCCACGGTTCGCTTTTCGGCGATGGCCTGGCTCCTGGGACGGGGCACCCTGGGTCACCTGATGAGAGCGCTGGGGGTTGGGCTGAGCCGTGCTGCCGTGACAAGTGTATTTCCTTCTCCTCCCTGGCGTTGTCTAATCCACACCCTGAGGAACCAGCTCTCCTCAGTCCTCAAATTCCTGGTCAGCTGCTAGCCACCCCTCCCCAGGTAAGGCCTCTTGGGGCAAATTTAACCCCCGCCATAATGCATCGGATGCCCCCCTGGGTGAGGCTTGCTGGCTGCCCTCCTGGGGCCTTCCAGAGTCCAGGGGGGCCCGCGGTGGGGTGGTGGGGTAGGGCACAGGAACTTCCGAGGTAGGTGCCAGGCCTCGCCAGACCTCAGAGACCCCTGCGCCCTGGCCTCCATTGGTAACCTTGAGCCCTTTGGAGTTCCAGACCTGGGACTCTCTCTGGCCTGTCTGGTGGGAAAAGGACTTACAATGCAGGGAAGTTTAGGGCTGGGTTTTCATTTGGTTCCTTTCTTTTCTTTCTTTCTTTCTTTCTTTGTGGTTTTTGTTTGCTCGCTTTTTGTTTTCTTTTGTTTTTTGCCAATCTGTGTGGCTTCATAGCACAAGAGCATTTTTCATTCTGTTTCCAAGAAAAAAATATCTTGGGTTCAGTTTGGGTGGGAACCCCCCCCCCGTCTCCCCCCACTAAATCTGTGTTCCTTCAAGGTCATTGCCAAGGACCTCCTGTCTCCCAGGAGGGGTGCCACACACCCAGGGCCCATACTGAAAAGCACCGGCTATATTCATTTTCGCTACATTTCTATATTCATTTTCGCTACATTTCTACGTATTAACCTTTGGTGCAGGGCCAGAAGCCCTGAGACGCACGGCAGCATATGGGCAAAGCTCTGTCCCTTTCCCAGTCCTGTCTCGGCTATCTCCTGAAAAGCCTGTGTGCTGGGTTCCCTTCCAGAAGTGTTGGCACGAATACGTGATTCTGCACTCCACTCCTTTCCATCACTCAAGGCCACCTGCCAGGTGCTACACGCTGCCCCGACAGCTTTACCGCCCCCCCCTTCCCCGGGGAGCACTGGCCCGCCAGCCACCGAGGACATTTTCTGAAACAGCTTCATTGATCTATAATTCACACCCAGTAGGATTCACCCATCTGAGGTGTACAATTCAATAGTTAACGTCATTTTATGACTTTTTTTTACTGTTTATTTATTGAGAGAGAGAGAGAGAAAGACAAAGTGCTAGTGGGGGAGGGGCAGCGCAAGCGAGGAAGACACAGAATCCAAAGCAGGCTCCAGGCTCTGAGCTCTCAGCACAGAGGCCGATGCACGAACCGACGCACGAACCGTGAGATCATGACATGAGCTAAAGTCTGATGTTTGAGCCACCCAAGAACCACCCCCCCCCCCCCCCCCCGATGTTACATTTTAAAATAGGGGCGCCCGGGTGGTTCTGGCTGTTAAGGGTCCCTGTCTCTCTCTCTCTCTCTCCCTCAAAAATAAATAAATAAACATTAAAATGTAACATTGCCTGTCAAAATGTTACATCATGTTAGAAATTGTGGCAAAAGGTACCTGACTTAAAATTTGCTGTTTTAACCACTTTCAAGCGTGCGGTTGACAACGGCAGTGCAGCCAACACATCGATTTACAAAACTTTTTTGTCACTCCAAATAGAAACTCTATCCCAGGTAGCAAAGACTCCGGGCTCCCTTTCCACCCTCCCAAACCCCTGGTAATCTTTAATCTGCTTTCTGTCCCTCTCCATTTGCCTATTCTCCATGTTTCGTGGAAGTAGTATGGCGGAATCTATGTCCGGCTTCTCTTACAAGAGAAGGGCAGTGCCCTCAAGGTTCCTTACACTACTGGCAGGTATCCGAATATCCTTCCTTTTGAGACTAACATTCCCTGGTGAGCATGGGCCTCATTTTGTGTACCCATTCATCCCTCAGAGAACATCTGGGTTGTTTCCAAATTATGGTGTTGGTGAATCATGCTGTTAGGAGTACAGGTGTACAAATATTTGAGTCCCCGCTTTCAGTTCTTTTTTTGCAGACCTCAGGGAGTAGGACTGCTGGCTGCAAAGGCAACTAGCTCGAGGTTTCTGAGCGGCAACGGAGCTGCTGTGCTACATGCGTAATTTTGTTTTACATTGTTTAATGTTTGTTTATTTTTGGAGGAGCGAGACAGAGCGGGAGCGGGGGAGGGGCAGAGAGAGAGGGAGACACAGAATCCGGAAGGCGCTCCAAGCTCCGAGCGCTGTCAGCACAGAGCCCAGCCACCGGGCTTGAACTCACGAACCGGGAGATCGTGACCTGAGCTGAAGTCGGTTGCTTAACCGACGGAGCCACCCGGGCGCCCCCGTAATTTTTTTAATTTTCTACCAGCTGTATTAAAAAGAGTAGAGAGACAAGGGGCGCCTGGGTGGCTCAGTGAGTTGGGCGTCTGACTTAGCCTCAGGTCATGATCTCACGGTTCACAGGTTCAAGCCCTGCTGTCGGGCTCTGTGCTGACAGCTCGGAGCCTGGAGCCTGCTTCGGATTCCGTCTCTCCCTCTCTCTCTACCCCTCCCCTGCTCACGCTCTGTGTCTCTCTGTCTCTCAATGATAAATAAACGTTAAATAATAAATAAGCATTTTTTAAAAGATTTTTTAAAATCATCTCTGCACACAACACGGGGCTCGAACGCACGACCCTGAGATCAAGAGTCGCCTGCTCTACTAACCGAGCCAGCCAGGCGCCCCTACTTTCTGTTTTGAAGCGGTTTTTGACTCACTTTTTCAATTGAAATTAGCGTTAAAGACTCTGTTCCTCAGACACGACGGCCACATTTCAAAGGCTCCATAGCATTACGGGGCTGGCGGCCACTGGATCAGAGGCTGCAAACACAGAGCGTTGCCCCGATGGCAGAGGGCCCTGCTGACAGTGCCTGATGTGTGGACAGAGTGGGGGATGCGTTGGGGGTTATGTCGAGAGGGAGAGTTTGGGCTCTGGGTCATGATGCCTGTGGCTCAGTGTACTTGGGCGAGACATGCATCAGTGTCTCCAAGCCTCAGTCTTCTCATCTAAAACGGGGGACGGGAGGGGCTGGGCTGAAGGAGGTTGCTGGGGCAGAGACAAGGGTCTAGATTTCTGCTCTAGCGGTTGGGGTCTGGGGTCTGCGGTCTGGGAGGACTTTGTGACCACAGGCGGGCACAGGAAGGATCCGGGAATGCAGGGATGCGGGCGGGACCACCCAGCACGGGACCAGAGGGGCTATCTTGGAGCACTACTGAAAGAAACACTGAGTAAATCCAACATCAGGTTCACGCTGGCACCTCTAAGCACTTCCTTTGCTCTCCCCACAAACCGGCCAGGCTCCCCGTTCACGGCAGACCTCAGGATTGGCTGTTGATTTGGCCAGGAGCCAGGAACGCCCTGTGCCCGAAGCTCTACTCTACCTGGCGAGCTCTCGCCTAACCTTCAAACCCAAGCCCTTTGTACCCCTCCTGGACAGATCCCCGGGTTCAAGCCCCAGCCCAAGAGGCTGGGACACTATGGGAAGGGCAGGGTCAAGGTGGGACCTGATGGCCCTTGGGACCAATGCCACCTCCCTGGGGACCCCTCCCCACATAGGTTATGCGGCCAGGTGGCTGGAGACACTGGGCTCAGGGCCAGGCGCTGTCTGCCGAGACACCAGCGATGCCGCTGTCTCCCTCTGAGTCACCTGGCCTCAGTTTCCTCAACCGCAGAATACAGGTAACAACAGTGCCAGCCTCAGGACTCACGTACGTCACCTGGCTGACACGTTGGTAACCCACGATTGTCTCCTTTGTTATCAACGATGTCGTCTCCACTCCCCCCTCCTCCCAGCTGCTCTGACCCATGGAGGCACTCGGCTGGACCAAGACCCGATGGCCCTGGCAACAGTGTCTCCTCGGGCTGCTGCTGCAACTGTTTCTGGCTCTGTGCTTCTTCTCTTACCTGCGAGTGTCCCAAGACACGCCCTTGTGGTCCGCCAGGTCGGGGGCCGATGCGGCAGAAGCTCTCGACGCGGCTCCCAACGGGTCCTCAGGGATGGTGTCCTCCCAGGGGGCGCCCTGCCTGACCCCCCCTGGGTCCTCTGCCCGCCCGCCCCTGGTGCTCCTGCTGTGGACATGGCCATTCAACCGCCCCGTGCCTCTGTCCCGCTGCTCGGAGCTGTGGCCGGGCACGGCCGACTGCCGGCTGACTGCGGACCGCAGCGCGTACCCTCAGGCGGACGCGGTGCTGGTGCATCACCGCGAGGTCAGCTACAACCCGAGGAAGCAGCTCCCCACGTCCCCACGGCCGCCGGGCCAGCGCTGGGTCTGGTACAGCATGGAATCGCCCAGCCACTGCGCGCAACTGAAGGCCCTGGACGGATACTTCAACCTCACCATGTCCTACCGCAGAGACTCGGACATCTTCACACCCTATGGCTGGCTGGAGCCGTGGCCCGGCCAGCCGGCCCCCACGGTGGTCAACGTCTCGGCCAAGACGGAGCTGGTGGCCTGGGTGGTGTCCAACTGGAGGGAAGACTCAGCCAGGGTGCGTTACTACCACCTGCTGAAAGCTCACGTCCAAGTGGACGTGTATGGACGCTCCCACAAGCCGCTGCCGGAGAAGGCCATGGCCCAGCAGCTGTCCCGGTACAAGTTTTACCTGGCTTTCGAGAACTCCTTGCATCCCGACTACATCACCGAGAAGCTGTGGCGGAACGCCCTAGAAGCCTGGGCCGTGCCCGTGGTGCTGGGCCCCAGCAGGAGTGACTACGAACAGTTCCTGCCCCCCGACGCCTTCATCCACGTCCACGACTTCCGGAGCGCCGAGGAACTGGGCCGGTACCTGCAGGCGCTGGACAAGGACCACGCCCGCTACCTGAGCTACTTCCGCTGGAGGGAGACGCTGCGACCTCGGTCATTCAGTTGGGCCCTGATGTTCTGCAAGGCCTGCCGGAGGCTGCAGCAGGACTCCACCTACCAGACTGTGCCCAGCATAGCTGCCTGGTTCACGTGAGCTGGCCGGGCCGGGGCGGGGGTCGCCCCCACACCACACCCCTGGGGACACACCTGCCGGGACGCGGGTGGCCGGGGAGCTCGCTTAGCTGGGGCTTCACCCGCTGGCCACCTCTGCTGCCAGGAGACCGGGCCGGGCCACCTTTCCTGCCAGGGGCCTCCCCGCCCAGGGGGTCTCACAAACTTGCAAGGAGCCTCACCCGCTGGGGACCCCACCCACGAAGGCACTCAGGCCCTGGGGAACCGGCCTGGGGGTCCCACCCGCTGGACGCGGTTCTGCTGGGTTTGCTTGTGGTTGCCCTTGCTGTTGTTAACCGCCTGTGGGGTGGCAGGTGGGCAATATTGGCACCAGACTCCAGATGGGAATGCTCCCAGGAAAACCGAGGTCTTCTCCCTTCTTTTACAACAGCGGTTCTCACCCCAGGGTGGCTCTGCCCTCCAGGGCACACTCGGCCAGGTGCCGTGAGGCTTGTGGCTGTCACAGCTGGAGATGGGGCGATAGCCTCGAGTGGGTGGGGGGCCACGGATGCTGTGCAACAGCCTAGGGTGCCCAGGACGTCCCCCACAACCACGAATGGCCTGGTCCCGGATGTCAAAAGATGGAAAAGCCCCCGAGGTCAAGCCCATCAGGCAGTGGGGAGTGGGGACCAGGCTGCCTGGGGGGGTCACTGGGGGCCAGGGGCTGTCCGGCGAAGGAGGGGGGAGGGGCGGGTGTGGTGCCGTGCGAGTAGTCGGGCGGGCTTGTGTGACATGTGGCGACCATGCGGGGCGGGGAGCGTGACCATTGGCGTGAGTGTTCCCGCTGTGTGTGGGCGAAAGCCAGACCCCATGTGCTTTACAGATGAGCGGTGACCTTGAGGTGTCACTCGTAGCGCGCAGTTTTGACCGTGACGACTGAACGCATGTGGGAGGGCCGGGCGTCTGTGTGTGATCTGCTCTGCCGAGCCCCATGTAGGTGCCCAGTCTCAGTGCGTGCGTGTGCGTGTGTGTGTGTGCGTGTGCACTACAGGGAACCCAGCCCCAGGGATCTGTGGGGGCCGTTGGGTATATGTTCCAATTCTCTGGTGGTCTGGGCCAGCGCCCTGTGGTTGGGATCCTGGAACTGAGTGGGAGATGAGGAACCGAGGTGCCAGGAGGTCCTGACAGGATGCACACACTCGCTCCTCCATCCACACGCACACGTGTGCACACACACACACACACACACACACACAC